GACTCGTCAGCATCTTATATACTTCGGCCCCGTGCGTCTGCCTCTACAAGAGAAGAGTTTGTAGCTCGATAGACGACGCTGGGGGTTGTGGGGTTGTGTGTGTGTGTGTGTGTGTGTGTGTGTGTGTGTGTGTGTGTGTGTGTGTGTGTGTGTGTGTGTGTGTTCTCATGTTAAACTGCTGCGTGGTGTTTCTAAAAGCTTGCACGATGAACATTAGTACGGGCTGCTAGTAGAAGCAGCTAAATGCACACACAGAAACACACCCGCACGCACGAAATAATAATGAACTTGGCGTTAAACCCCATCTCACATCGCCTATACGGCGGGTAAAGGGAGATGGGACAGGAGGTTTGGTTCCAAAGCCCATGCATCTCAGAACCGTATCTTAGTTCTTCGGTTTCAACGGTGTGCCAAAGGGGTTTGATTCCCCACATGGGTACAATGTGTGAAGCCTATTTCTGGTGTCCCCCGCCGTGAACATCGTCGGCTGCTAACAGCGGCGTAAAACTTAACTCACTCAGTCACCAAATGCTTCCTCCTTGTACCTTTATTAACATGGGGGAAACGCACGGGAAAAGTTTTGATAATATATACTCAGTCTGTCATAAATATATTAAAACTTTGTGCGTTTCCCCCATGCAATGTGTAATGCCCAATTCGGTTGTCCCAAGTCGTGATATTGCTGGAATATTGCTGATATTGCTAAAGCCATACTCACTCACTTTAAGGAATTTGTGTTGGATCTGAACAGGCGCAGTTCATGAAAGAGAACAAAGAAGAAAAGCTGCCGCAGTATTTTGGGATGCTGGAAAAGCTTCTGGAGAAAAACGGAAGTACAGGATTCTTCGTCGGCAAATCGGTAACCACATGTCAAATTGTCCTTCTTCAAAACCCACATGAATCTTCATCTTCACATGCAAACAGTAAACTCCGTGTACAGCGAACTTGATTGTAACGAACTGACGGATATAAGGACCTGCTGTTTTTATTTGTCGTATAACGAACTACGGTTATAACGAATAAAAATTAGCGGCCCCTTGGAGTTCGATATAACAGTAGTTTCTGTATATTATTACAAACTAAATCGATTCTGTTCTTATCATATCAATAATGGTTGTAGTACCATTCCGCCAGCTGATGAAACACACAATCCTAAATTTCAGGTAAAGGCACTTCATATTTATAAAAAACTTGTTTCTGAAATTGTGAAATCAAATTTTTAGAATAACTTTGGGAATAAGTCCGTGAAGATCCGGATTAGAGTCTATGTTCGGCAACCCATGCCTGTCGTAAGAGGCTAACGGGCTCGTATATGGAGGCTTGCAAAGTGGTTCAATCATCATCTTATCCTACTTACGTAGATCAGTGCGATATCAGTCACGATATCAATCATTTGATTGTCTGGTCTACTATGGTGTCTTACAATTAAAATGTTAGTGTGGCGTTAAACAAAATATGTCATTGAACCCAGTGCGCTAGCTTCTGGTAAAAACTGATTAATGAGAATCGTATGGATGACCTCGTTGTTGGTATGTCATTGTAACCCAAGAGCGGCGATTGTTCTTCATATTATCAACCACTGGTCCATGGCATTGCTAGAAAGCCAACGAAACTTGAGAAAATGGTTGTAATCATTCTTCATGAGAATAGTTCAAGCAGACAAGGTACCGGTTGCACAAAGCGACAGGTACCATATCTGGGTTGGAGACAATGAAGTTGCGATCATCTTAGTGCTGAGATCGCTTAGTACATGTGGGCAGTGTGTGAAATAGCCACTGGCCCGGTAGCCCGTGGCTAGTAAAAATCCATTCGGGCAATTAAATCTTCACAGTCACTGGCCTTACTGGCTGGAGAATTTTCATGCGGACATTAATTTTTGTAAATATATCAATCTCTCCGACTTGATAAGTTATAACACATTTTTCAACCATGCAAGATTATGGTACGATACAAATGTTCATCATATTACCAGCTTAATAATGAAACCAGTGTCATGGCGACAATATCTTATTCTCATCTATTTTTGTGATCTTTGGCTTAGTTTCCACATTCAATTTTCGGGCTAGTGAATTATTTTGTGGGCTAGTAACTTTCAGGCATAGCTATCCCGACTGGCTAGCAAAACTGGGCCCCAGTGGGCCACTCGTGCAAGTGGACCCAACAATATATATGTACTCTGTTTTCAGATTACCCTTGCTGACGTCACTGTGTTTGACATGTGCGAAAAGATCCAAGCAATGGTGGACTTAGACAAGTTCCCTCTGGTCAAGAAATGCCGGGAAAATGTAGCTTCTAACCCCAAAATCAAGAAATGGCTTGACACGAGGCCTGTTACAGAAGGCTAGTTAAGTGACATCCACAAAGACCATATAGAAACGCTATTTTTTATATATTCATTCGTTTTACACAAATCGCTGCATGAATCATACATCTATGCTGTATGTTTTAGTAACTGTATTGATCCTGTTATTGCAAATAATTCACGTTCATGGGTGACAAGTACCCACTGAGCTGCAATTAAGCATGAAAAAGTTTACTGTTGAAATTTGGTGTCCCCGACATTCCTTAGTGCTGTAGACGATATTCTATAGAAAGATGATTCAATGTTTTATGATTTTGTGTTCCTCATGTACAAAATATTGTTGTACATGTTATTATGAGAAACATGTTTTCAACATTTACAAATAAAGGTTTTCAAAATTGTTGATTTTTCTGCTTGTAGTTGTATCGTTTGCGTGTGTGCGTGCGCATGTGCATATGCGTGTGTGCGCGCGAATATGTGCTTGCTGATTTATTTTAACAGTCTTACAAGAAAACCATAGTCATTTACACAGACTGGAAGTAATTCCGCTTTGAAATGAATTTCCAGTACATCGTGAAATAACAGTATTTTTATCATAAAAAATCAATTTTACATATAATTCGCAATAGGATGTAAATGATGTGTATTTTTTAATGTCACCTCTGAGTGATACACTTAAAGGGGGAGCATTTACAGATGTCAACTGCGGCATTAAAAGACCCTTCCGTTTTATAAATATCTATATCAATGGTGTCTATCAAAACGAAACAGAAAAAAAGAATCACTTTTATACAGAGTTATGTCCCTTGTCATGGTCCGAACATGGCGCATTGTATGCCCCAAACACAAGTTTTCTCAGAAGTCTCTATGGATGCAAGGATGACGTTTTGCAAGCACAATAAAGAAAGATAAACATTTGAAATAATAATTTGAAAAACAAATCAATTTTGGCTAGGTTAACGAATTCCTTTTCCGAATGCAGGAAGTTGAACACACAAACCCTAGTTCCGCACCAAATGTCACCTATTTCAAAATTTCTCACACGTTCAGCATAAGTCAGTTTTTCAAAAATCCAGCACTAAATATTGAAAAATATGGTCCGTTTTAATTACTTTAATTACTGGATGTCTATTAAAAAACACAACACTCCTCAACAAAAAAAAAATAAACAAACAAATAATAATAATTCAATTACACCTGTCAGGTAAATCTGTCTGCAGCGCAGACTACGAAAGTTACCTGTTAAGCTGAATCACACTCTCGCGCAGTGATGGTTTAGCATAACATCATTGCCAGAGGCTAATTTGCATATCACGTGACCGGACATTGCTCTTGTTTGTAAAGACCCGCGCATATTAATCATATTGTTTTACATCGTTATATAGATAAGTGCGACAATGAGGCTGATGACAATAGTTTAAATGTACTGTATTCCCATAATGCCATTCAAGGACTCCAGACGTCCTTAGAATAGTGAGAGTGAGAAAGAGAAAAGTGTCTCATGATGTGGAACGAAATATATAGACATGATATGATACGTTAAAAACAGCACCCGACCAGTTGGTCTACGAGACACTTATTACTTGATAGTACATATAATATATAAAAGTGGATAAAATACATACATACATACATACATACATACATACATACATACATACATACATACATACATACATATATTCCAGCTATATGGCGGCGGTCTGTAAATAATTGAGTCTGGACCAGACAATCCAGTGATCAACAGCATGAGCATCGATCTGCGCAATTGGGAACCGATGACATGTGTCAACCAAGTCAGCGAGCCTGACCACCCGATCCCGTTAGTCGCCTCGTACGACAAGCATGGGTTACTGAAGATCAATATTCTAACCACAGTCCATTCAAGATTTTGTCTTTAACCTGTTTTATCTATAAACATCAGGTTACTATCTAGGCAGTAAAAAACGTATTCATGCTCTACACAAGTTAACGTGCTATTTCCGCCATATAGCTGGAATATTGCTGAGTGCGGCGTAAAACTCAACTCAACTAACGTCCTATTTATTGTTGAACTTGAAAATCGGAATATGTAGGCACTTTGTGAGAGTGATGTCCCTTTGTTGACACGATACATGCATGTTGTTAATATTGACCGTCAGCTATTTTAGATCATAATGACATCCCCGCGCGTATTTATGACAAACTAATAACCTATTAGTAATCTACTCGTATCTTCTGTTTAATATGATATTCTGAATTGCAATCTAAAAAAACGATAGGTCGGCCCGTGTAAAATTATGAAAACAACATAAACATTCACATTGTACGAGTGAACATTTAAAAACACTTAAAAGTAATATTATCGTATTAAGTTTACAAATTAATTTGTCATGTATGTATGTTTCTTGAATGAAGTCGAAATTGTCGCAACGAAGCACACAGCTGACGTCATCATTATGCCGGGACTCGACTTTTATTCGAGATATGCGAGTTTGTTGTTCTTATACAAAGAGAAAAATCACCTGATATTGAAATTAGCCTGTGGCAGTGATGTTGAAGTGATGATGAAAAGTCACCACTGCGCCTATGTGTGTAAATGATAGACGGTAAAGGGTTAAAGAACTTACCGGTGAATACAGGTTACAACTAACCGAGAATTGCAAATCATTGCCTATTAACAAGTCACGTGAGTCACGTGATCACAACAAGCTTCAGCGCACACGACCCAGCCTTATAAAGGGAGACGATAGTTCATGTGAACTCAAACGTCAAGTCATCTGAAGCGACGATAACTGGAACAGACCAGACATCACACACAAGATGCCGACATACAAGCTCAAGTATTTCCAATCGAAAGGTCGCGCCGAGGTATGCCGCCTCCTGTTCGCATTGGCTGGTCAAGAGTACGAAGATATCCGCTACAGTCAAGATGAATGGAAAACGGAAAAAAGTAGTGAGTTGAAACCGGTTGAATGAATGGACTTGTTGGTATGTTGTGGTCTTATAGGTCCAAGGTTGCCATTTGTCCTGAAACTATATTTAAATCATAACAAGGCACCCAAGAGCTGTGCATTTTATTGAGTTTCTGTTTGAGGTGGATTGTTGGTCTTTTTGTAGACGGCTTTCACACATGTATGTCAAGCACGTCAGCGAGTCTGATCGCGCAAACAGGTCAGTCGCCTCTTACGACAAACATGGGGTGCTGGAAATCAACAACCCGGATCTTCGCGCGGGTGGGTGGGGGTGGAGGGGGTGGGGACAGCTCTTTATAATAACTCGCATATTATCTAACTCGTGATGGATAAATCCTTGCATATTTCTGTTGCAGGTTTATTGTTGATTTTTGTTTTGTTTTTGTCAACGTTTGTTTATCATCTAACGTACCATCAATACAGTCCAGTATATTGACCAGATGTCCGAAGAAATGTGCGTTAGCGTAAAATATAAAATAGAAACATAAGATATGATTCATATATAGTTCAGATGTGTTGCATTACATAAATATGTCTGTCATTTAAAATGTGAAAACATCCTGGTTGTATATCAAGCCGGATAGATCTAACTGGTTTAAACTGGTTTTGCTTTCACAATAAACATAAATTTCATAGTCATTGTACACGATTGAATCACTAGCACAATCAATATCAAACTGCGTGCTTATAAATACCAATGACAGCTATGTAAAACAGTAGAAGAAGACAGTGTTTATTTACTGAATGATCTGTTTGCCAGGGGCGTAGCTACCACTATAAAAAAGCCCGGGCTTACACATGATTGTTGCTAAAAAGGTTGGGGCAAGTCTTCAATACTATCTAAATAAAAACCTTTGCAACCTATCGGGCTTACACGAAAAAAGGGCTTGCTACGCGCCCGTTTGCTGTTTCACAAACTCATCAACATTCCTATATAAGAACATCCAGGCCTAACAATCCAGTGATGTTTATCTATCTACGCTGTTGGGATACGATGACTACCCGATCCCGTTAGTCGCCTCTTACGACAAGCATGGGTTACTGAAGACCAACCCGAATCCGGATCTTATTTGCATTACCTTACCTAGTTTACATGAGCAGACCTACATTGAATAATGAATAGAGGCTGTGCGTCTCGCTCGCTGTAACTTGTATGTTCATAATACTATGTATATCGATCGCTGTTGCGACATGTGTTACAAGCCACCTGAAACAGCATTATAGCGTGTGAGTGAGCATAGGCAACGAGCCAAACCCTGTTTAAAAAAACAACAACCCCGCAAACACCAAACACCCCCACCCCCACCCCCCGCAATCCCCCACCCCACCCCCACACAAATAAACAGTCCCCAAAAACACAATATCAATTATATTATCTGACAGGTTCCTAGGTCTACATTTAAAGTATTATATTTAACAAAGTGATTTGTTGACTAATAATATTCTCATAATTTACTCATTAATGGTTTTCAAACGGATTATTGGTAAACGGTCAACATATACCTAAGCCGTCAAAACGTGTATGTGTCGTAGGCTATGATAATGCAAACATCATTGTGCTAATACAGGACCTTTCTTGTTCTTTTACTTCAACCAATCTACCTCTTCTCCTAATGAATATTCATGTTTCAGACACGCCATTTGGTCAATCAATCTACCTCTTCTTCTAATGAATATTCATGATTCATACACGTCACTAGTCAACCAATCTACCTCTCTTTCTTATGAATATTCATGTTTCAGAGACGCCATTTGGTCAGCTTCCAGTGTTGGAAATTAATGGAGAACCGTATGGGCAGAGTTCAGGAATAATCGCCTTCTTGGCCCGAGAGTTCGGTATGTACTATGTGCACGGTATTTAATACTATTTATACAGTTATTAATTAATTTAGCACTACAGGTCGTGTTCTGGCAACAGTTTAACCAACACCAACACCAAACAAAACGAACCATTAAGGACTTGTGATCGTGTTATCCATTCTCCGATATTCACTCAAACAAACATGTATTTTCCTTTCCATCATTGGGGAATATAATCATCATACTTCTATATCCACTTCAGTACATCCCGTGGCTATCTTCGTGGTCAAGTCGATAGTACATTAATTTGTGGAAATAGGCTGTTCGATTCCCGACGATTCGTAACAGATGTATAAATAATGGTAACTGTTATTGCCTTGCCTTTCGTTCGATAGTAAAGGGATAAAAGTCGAGGCACACACACACACACACACACACACACACACACACTTCATTCATCTACGAGTATACGCTGCTCTGTTACTTAGCACAGACTTGTAGTATGATTTGTTTGTTGTTGTTTATCCATATCCCTGCTACATGACACAGGTCTGTAAATATTTGAGGTCAGACCAGACAATCCAGTTCCGTGTTGACATGAGCATCAATACATCGGCCATGATTCCACGTGTCAGCGGTGGTCTGTAAATAATCGAGTCTGGACCAGACAATCCAGTGATTAACAGCACGAACAGCGATCTACACAATTGGGATATGATGACATGTGTCAACCAAGTCAGCAAACCTGACCACTCGATCCCGTTAGTCGCCTATTACGAAAGAGCTGGCTTGCTGGAGATCGACTTTAACCCGAATCCAAGATAGCTTTGACATGAAGGGGGGAGTAGGTAAAAGTCAAACCATTTTGACTACCACTGCTAACATCAAACTACTGCAACAAGTGCAGAACAGTACTGCTAGGATGCTGACTGGAACCAGGGAACTGACCATATTACCCTCGTCCTGAAATCACTTTGCTGGGTACCCGTAGAGCACTTCATCACTTTCAAGACTCTTTCACGTATTCAGCCATAAATGATGAAAACGCCCCAGCCAATATTAGGGACATGTTACATCGCAACCAACCAACACGAGCGTTAAGATCAGCCGATGATAAACTGCTTTAAGTTCTAGAACTAAAACAAAGATGGGAGAAGTGGTTCTGTGCTTTGCAGCTCAAAAACGTTGGAATGCTCTACCACTGGAAATCTGAAGACTCTGAAGACTTATCTCTGTTCCGCTCTCAGTCATATGTAATCTGGAAACCAGGCGGTATACAAATCAATTATCATTCATTCATTTACTTTTGTAATTATATTTTATTGCCAGGTATTCATGGAAAAACTAGCCTGGAGCAGCTGAAGGTGGACCAAGTGATGGGCATCATACAAGACATCTACACACACATGCTGAAACACTTCTATGAGAAGGATCCAGCCAAACAGGTGAGCCCTAGGACCAACACTGGGTCAGTATGGCTTCACGCCCATTTTAGCAATATTACAGCTATATCACGGCGGGGGACACTAAAACACTTTGTACCCATGTGAGGATACGAACCAAGACCTTTGGCATAACGGATGAACGTTTTTACCACTTGCCTGTCCGCCGGCCGTTAAGCGACAATGAAACATTACCACCATATGACATTTTAAGTGCTTTATTGGGATGACTGTAGTCAGTGTGATATATTGAACCCGATAACTGCTTACAACGACACGGGGGCGGTGGTGTAGCCAAGTGGTTAAAAAGTGCTGAAGACTCGAGTTTGATTCCCTATATGGGTACAATGTGTGAAGCTCATTTCTGGTGTTCCCAGCCGTGACATTACTAGAATATTGCTAAAAGCGGCGTAAAACTAAAATCACTCACTCACACTCACACTACGACATGATGTTTTTCTATATTGAAAACTTACTGCAATATTCAGCCTCGGAGGCGGTCTGTAAATAACTGAATCTGGATAATGAAAACGAGTGAGTGGCATCAAGAGCATTGATCCCAGCAATAAAAAGTCTCACCATGATCACTGATCGTGCCCACCCCTTTCAGTCAGTCACGGACACGTGTCACCGTATCCCAGTTGCGTAGATCAATGCTCATGGTGTTGACCACTGGATTGTCTGGTCAAGACGGCGTTAAAAACAACAAACAAACAAACATCTAGACACGACAAACATACATGTGGAGTGCTGAGATTGTATGTTGAGAAATATGTAAACTCTTCTTTTGTTGAAACGACCTGATTAATCATAATCGCCATTGGAAGATGTGGCACCAATACGTCATCATGAGTATAATATAGCATCGTTTTTTTCAGGCGGAGATACTCAAGGAAAACAACAAAGATCATTATCCAAAATACCTGGGCTTTTTTTGAGTCCATTTTGAAGAAGAATGGTAGCGGATTCTTCGTGGGAAATAGGGTAAGTACACGCACATCGGCTGCAGTCAAAAACGGTTGTGTCGAAGTTAAAGCGAACTGCGCGAATACTTCGAGATACCCGAAGTTCGACACAACCGGAAATGAAGAATTAGCAGGGACAATATTTTGACTTTGAGATACCCGAAGTTCGACACAACCGAAAAAGAGAGAATTCGCAGGGACTATATTTGACTTCGAGACAACCGCACCTTCGACACAACGGTGTTTGTACTAGTTTTTGACCAGCAAATTGTAGACATAAGTGTACTCTCTCCTTAAAAACACATATGAACTAAATAAGATCTAGTACAGTAAAACACTGTTGTGTCGAAGTTAAGGGTCCAGCGTAAATACTTCGTGTTATACTAGGTTCGAGATGCAAAAGGATGACTAAATTGACAGCTTTGTTCAACACAAACGTGTTTAATAGCATTTAATATAACATTTGGAAACTGATACAACGCCTTGTTACTTGTTTTTGTCAGACATTATGGACAGCTGTGCTTTTATCTTCCATTTTGACAAATGCGAAAGAATGTAGCGACCTTAGCTATTGCTCGATCACTTAATCTCCATATTCACCAATCGTTGATAGGTGGTAACTAGTGTTAGGAATTGGTTAAAATCTCATAATTGATGATTGGTTCATTACAACCGTTCAATCATCGAAAGTAATTGGTTTGCGTCATTTATGAAATTTTCCTGGTTATTTTTGTTTTCACAAAAAACATTAAGTAAAAACATGTAGTTCTTTGTGTGTGTTTTTTTTGCAAGTTGCACATCTTTAAAGGATGACTAGTATGTTAGGAATATACATTTCTTGGGGTCCTTAAGATAAATTCAATGGAACGAGCTTGTAGTGTTAATGAAATGTAACAGACAAAACCACCCTTGTGAAAAATTGTTAATGCAAAAAGTGTTCCAGAATTGTTTGTATTCGATTACGAGAAAACATGATCGATTGCTTGGTCGTTTAGTCACTGCGACCAATCCTCGATTATTTCAATTAATCGGACCACTACTAAAACAGGCATAGCTTAACATAGGCGGATCCAGGAATTTTACTAATCGATAGTCATTTTCAAATATGAGCATCAAGAAGTTTATTTTACCCCCATTGTTAAAGGTTCGTTTACAACTCTTCCAGATAACCCTGGCTGACATTGCTGTGTTTGACACCCTCGACGGGAAGATTGACGCCAGTTTAGTAGAATCTTTCCCGCTGATCAAGGAAAACTGCAAGAAGGTCCGCGCAAACGAGAAAATAGCACAGTGGTTGGACAAACGTCCCAAAACAGCCTACTAGTTACGGCCAAACTCATATCGTCTACAGAGGCGGTGGGGTAGCCCAGTGGTGTAAGTGTTCGCCTGTCATCGAAAGCCCAGGTTCGATTCCCGAATGGGTTCAATGTCCGGCGACCGTTGCTTGTGTCCCCGCCGTGATATTGCTGAGATATTGTTAAACACGACTTGCAACGTTACTATCTCTCTCCTGCGTCACTATGATAACATCTGCTAGGCTCAGAGTTTAGGGCTGCCGAACCTTTACCGTTTCCAAGTCACAGAGGGTAAAGCAGAAACTGTCTTTCTTTTTGGTTTTGGTACTAAATTTCTCTGGATGGCGACTAAAAGTGTTCGGAAGCTATTTAATGCTTCGAGTTGCATATGTCGCAAAGTATGTAAGATTTGTGGCGAAAACTGAACAATATGCACAACTATGTTTCTTAACGAAAATAAAATATTTTAATAGCTGGACTAAGTGTATCTTGTGAATGCGTATTGATACTGTTACTACACTTCATGTTACCGTAGTTTCTTGTGTTATAACTGCAGGCTTCCTGGCCGGTTAGACCATAAGTGTTGATACTGTTACTACACCTCACGTTACCATGGTTTCTTGTGTTATAACTGCAGGCTTCCTGGCCGGTTAGACCATAAGTGTTGATACTGTTACTACACCTCACGTTACCATGGTTTCTTGTGTTATAACTGCAGGCTTCCTGGCCGGTTAGACCATAAGTGTTGATACTGTTACTACACCTCACGTTACCATGGTTTCTTGTGTTATAACTGCAGGCTTCCTGGCCGGTTAGACCATAAGTGTTGATACTGTTACTACACCTCACGTTACCATGGTTTCTTGTGTTATAACTGCAGGCTTCCTGGCCGGTTAGACCATAAGTGTTGATACTGTTACTACACCTCACGTTACCATGGTTTCTTGTGTTATAACTGCAGGCTTCCTGGCCGGTTAGACCATAAGTGTTGATACTGTTACTACACCTCACGTTACCATGGTTTCTTGTGTTATAACTGCAGGCTTCCTGGCCGGTTAGACCATAAGTGTTGATACTGTTACTACACCTCACGTTACCATGGTTTCTTGTGTTATAACTGCAGGCTTCCTGGCCGGTTAGACCATAAGTGTTGATACTGTTACTACACCTCACGTTACCATGGTTTCTTGTGTTATAACTGCAGGCTTCCTGGCCGGTTAGACCATAAGTGTTGATACTGTTACTACACCTCACGTTACCATGGTTTCTTGTGTTATAACTGCAGGCTTCCTGGCCGGTTAGACCATAAGTGTTGATACTGTTACTACACCTCACGTTACCATGGTTTCTTGTGTTATAACTGCAGACTTCCTGGCCGGTAAGACCATAAGTGTTGATACTGTTACTACACCTCACGTTACCGTAGTTTCTTGTGTTATAACTGCAGACTTCCTGGCCGGTTAGACCATAAGTGTTGATACTGTTACTACACCTCACGTTACCATGGTTTCTTGTGTTATAACTGCAGGCTTCCTGGCCGGTTAGACCATAAGTGTTGATACTGTTACTACACCTCACGTTACCATGGTTTCTTGTGTTATAACTGCAGGCTTCCTGGCCGGTTAGACCATAAGTGTTGATACTGTTACTACACCTCACGTTACCATGGTTTCTTGTGTTATAACTGCAGGCTTCCTGGCCGGTTAGACCATAAGTGTTGATACTGTTACTACACCTCACGTTACCATGGTTTCTTGTGTTATAACTGCAGGCTTCCTGGCCGGTTAGACCATAAGTGTTGATACTGTTACTACACCTCACGTTACCATGGTTTCTTGTGTTATAACTGCAGGCTTCCTGGCCGGTTAGACCATAAGTGTTGATACTGTTACTACACCTCACGTTACCATGGTTTCTTGTGTTATAACTGCAGGCTTCCTGGCCGGTTAAGACCATAAGTATTGATACTGTTACTACACCTCACGTTACCATGGTTTCTTGTGTTATAACTGCAGGCTTCCTGGCCGGTTAGACCAAAAGTAATTGATACTGTTACTACACCTCACGTTACCATGGTTTCTTGTGTTATAACTGCAGGCTTCCTGGCCGGTTAGACCATAAGTGTTGATACTGTTACTACACCTCACGTTACCATGGTTTCTTGTGTTATAACTGCAGGCTTCCTGGCCGGTAAGACCATAAGTGTTGATACTGTTACTACACCTCACGTTACCGTAGTTTCATGTGTTATAACTGCAGCAATCTCTGCCCCTGCTCCCTTTTTAAATCCAAATTGAAAGGGGTGTGGACAGTCTTTGTATTCTTTTGCCCACTTTTCAATTCTACAGAACAGAAGCCTTTCAAATAATTTACCAGTGACGGAAGGAAGCGTAATCCCTCTATAATTAGAGGGATTACCCTTACTTTTACCATGGCCTTTATTTACTGGTAAAATGCAACCAATATTAAACATCTGCTGAACATATTCATATGAAACAATATCGTTATACAACGTAAGGATATGAGGAAATAGCGATCTTCCCGCACGTTTAACATGTTCATTAAAGATGCCATCTGATCCAGGGGATTTACCACATTCTAAACGTTTAACAGATACAAACAGTTCATCATTGTGGAAGGGGCATAATAATAGTGGATTTACATTTTTGTGACAATAACTATGGTCTTCTTTGGATGACAAGATATCACCAACAAAATTATTAAATGCTCAGTAAAAGATATATCAAATGATTCATCATGATATGGTTGCAATAGGTCGTTAAAGTACTGACCAAACAGATTACATATATCCTCCTGTGTGTCGCACGAGTCACCATTGTAATATAAAACTCGTATATGATCTTTATTGCGTTTGTTACGCTTTGTAACTCTGAGATATTCTTCTATGTCAACTTCAGCAGCTTCATATATATACTGAGTCTCAAAAGAAATGTCGCACTGATAGGGGTTTCTTAAAGCACACACTTTAATTCACTCTAATTAACAATCAAAACAGAGGACTGAGTTCAAACTTGACAATTATGGTTAACACATTTTCGGGAATCACATTTAGAGCTCACACAAGCAAATCACCAAAAATGGTACCATTAAGATACCCCAAAGACAGTATCGTGTGTGGCGTCTATGGGCATCGATGAAATCGTTGCATCGTCTGTACATGGAATGAATTAGCCGGTCGATGAAGGTCATACGCACTTGGGTCCATACTCTGCGAAATGCCTGATCGAGTCTAGCCGTAGTTGTCGGCCTTGGTTGGAGTCCATTCAGTCTTCTTTGAATCTCGTCACAAAGATGTTCTACTGGACTTAAATTCAAGAGTGCAAGATTTTGTAGGGTTTGGATGCCATGCTTTCTTATGAAGTCCAATGTTGCTTTGGCACTGTAGGCACGATCGTTGTCTTGCTGGAAGATGTGATTTCTGTAACGTCTAAAATGTGGTACAACGTGGGGTTTTATGACTTAATCGACATAGCGAGCAGCTGTCATGTCATTTCCTCATCCTGGACCAAGATTCTGGAACACCACGGTATTAAGTAACTGGTTCAGACCGATTGCACCTCACACTATGATGCTTGGACCACCCCACGACTCTCTTTCAACAATACACTCATTGGAAAACATTTCACCACGCCCTCGCCATACTCTC